AGGAAAATAACAAGTGTGTAGATGAATAAAGAATTCTAGTTTGCTCATGTTAATTCTGAGATACCTATTAAGTATCCAAGTAGAGATATCAAATAGACAGTTGGAGTTCAGACTGGTGATATACATTTGGGACCATCAGCATACATATTACTGTTAAGGAGAAAGAAAATGTGAGGAGAGAAGAATAAAGAACATAAGACTTGAGTCCTGGAGCATGCCACCACTAAGAAGTAGAGGAGCTGGGTGCAGTGGCTCATGCCTGTTATCCCAGTCACATGGGAGGCTGAGGCAGGAGGAATACAAGTTTGAGGCCAGTCTCAGAAATTTAGGGAGGTCCTAGGTCACTTAGTGAGGCCCTACCTATGGTAGAATGAGACAGACATTATTACACTATATACAAGTATGGTTACACTACTGGACTGACTCTGTACCATGTACAGCTAGAGGAATGAAGTTATGTTCTATTTGTGTACAATATGTCAAAATGCATTCTACTGTAAAAAATAAATAAACAAATAATTTTAAAAATATGGGCACCATTATGTTAGGTTTGAAAATGATATAGTAAAAAAGGCAAATGTGATATAGAAAGGGGGCAATCACTGAGGTGCAGACCTAGAAAAGTAAAAAGGGATGAGATATAAAGCACAAATGAAAGAGGGGTTTTGTTGAGAGTGATGTTTCCATCAATGAAAAAAGGAGAAAAGCAGAAAGTACTTGCAGGTTGGTAGATATGATGGTGGGAGGGAATAAAAAACTTCTCATTTGTGTTTTTCTTCTCAATGAAGAATGAGCCAAGACCATAAATTCAAGGCAAATGGGAAGGAATACTGGAGGTTCTGGGAGAAAGTATAATGACCATTTGAGGTATGGAAGAGAAAATTTGTCAGGAGCATAGAGTAGGAGGTCAGGCAGTATTGTGCTTTCACTTGAGATCTGTGGACATGAATTTAAAAAGAAACCAGTCATCAGTGATTACGTGTGAGTTATAAGCACTCTGACAAGTAGTGCTTATTAAATATAATGATACCCTCCAGTTGTTCACTCAATGAATAAGCACACTGGTGGAATATTAAACTTGGATAGGGAAGGAAGAAGGGAAATAAACAACGCATATGTCTTCTTACAACCTACTTGAAGGAGACAAAAAATGATTATTTGAGAATATAAGCACAAACATGTTAATTTTGCAAGTTGAAGTTATAAACTCTAAAAGAAATTTAGGATAATGGCATATTTAAAATAGGATGAAGTTAATTTGGGAAAGAATTCTTGAAGTTAATTTTCAGATCAGATCTCAAAAATTACTATGGGCATGTTAACAAAAAGCAGATGAAAAGGGGCAAAATTACTAGATGTTAATAATAAGCCAGATGGATAGTATGGGCTATGGCCAGGAATAAGTGGAAAAGGACTTTGAGCTTGAAAGCAGGGATAAAAAACACTACTACAGCTTAAGTAACAACCTCTTCATGCTGAGCACTAGATCACTTATCTAACAATGGCTATTATTTTTTCTGGTGCCTGCACTGTGTCTAGGCAATGTGCTAGTTGTTTCACATATGTAATTTTTAATATACACAACAACCCTACAAAATTACATATCATTAATTACTTATATAATTATTAAAATTCTACTTTATAGAAGAAAAAATTAAGTCTCAGTATTTCAGTAATTTGCCCAAGATTCCAGTTAGTAAGGATCTGACGTGGGATTTGAAGCCAGATCACTCTGATTCCAAAGGCCATAGTCAGTGTTCTTATGCCTTTTTTCAATTAACTGACTATTCCTTCATTTTCCCTAGCCTTTAGTACCAATAGCAGCCCAGGATAAATGTTCAGCAACAAGAGTGACCGGAAAATGTAAACCTAATGACCAATCTTTGCACTTAATCCAAATTGTTTCCTAACAACCTTCTCCAACACCCCCAGCTCACTATTTCACTTTCTTCAACTTCTTCCTTTCCCTATTTGCCTGATCCTGTGAAAGCTCTTCTCACTCTTCCCAAGCTAACTTCTTTATATCCTTTAGCTCTCAGCTTAATTGTCACTTCATCAGAGGACTTCCTTGGTCATTCTATCTAAAACAGATCACTGGTATTGTCTGTTATCCATTTGTTTCCTAACATTTATCAAAATTTCCAATTATGCTGTTGGCTTAATTTCTGGAGTCAGGAAATATTAAAATATTAAACCCCATGAAATCAGAGACCTTGAAAATCTTGTTTATCTTCAATTTCTTCTGTTCAATAGAGGGGGCACTAAACACGTGGCTCTTGAGTACCAGTGGCACCTCTATATTGAGATGGTAAAATATATACCAGATTTCAAAGTCTTGGTATGAGAAAAGAAATGTGTAATATTGCATTATTTTTTTCATATCGATTACATGTTGAAATGATAATATATTCTTTCCCCTTAGTATCCCCAGGGGATTAATCCCAGGACCCCTGCAGATAACAAAATCTGATGTGCAAGTCCTTTTTAGAAATTGGCATAGTATTAGCATACAACCTACCCACGTCCTCCTTTATGTTTTAAATCACCCATAGATTACTTATAATACTTAATACAATGTAAATGTTATGTAAATAATTGTTGAAATGTATTACTTAGGGAACAACAAGAAAAAAAATGTCTGAATATATGCAACTTTTTTTTTCTGAATGTTTTCCATCCAGTTGGTTGAACCCTGTGGTTTGAAACCCACAGACACAGAAAGCTGACTTACTTGTATAAATTGGACTAAACATATAGCAAAATTAATTTCACCTTCATTTTTGAAAGGAAATGTGGCTACTAAGAGAGTTTAACCTAAATATGGAACTCACATATTTCTTGGCTCTGGGACAGGGCTATTCCAGAGCCTAGCACAGAATTTGGGCCCATTTTATTGAGTGAAATAACCAATCTTAAGATATATACTGAATGACTGGTGAACGAAGAGGTAGTCTTCTACTAGGAAAACGGATACCGCTTTGTCCTAGAAGTCAGGAGATCTAGGTCGTGGTCCAGAGTATACTGGAAACGCTGTGTTGCCTTGGACAAACCCTATCCTGCTCTGGGCATCAATTCACCTATCAGGTTGTTGATCTGGAAGCCTGTAACAATAACTGGCGCAGAATTATACCAGGAAACCTGAAAAAAAAAAAAAAAAAAAAAAAAAAAAACGGAACTTAGCTCTAGCCTAAATACTTAAGCCTTGGCCCAAGGGAGAAGATAGCGGACTAGACCCCTGAACTCAGAACCTAGGCGGCCGGCTTCCTCGGGTCTACGTCACTGGGGCGCGACAGCGTAGTTCCCCGGTCCGCAGCGGCTCAGAAGGTCCCTTTGGTGAAGGCGAGTTCCGGGCCAATGAAGGGTCAAACATTCCTAAATCTCTTGGAGGCTGAGCACTCAGTAACCCCTCCACCCCTCCTTTTTATTTCAATACTACTCAGCACAGGAGCCCGGGTAAGACGAGCTACCCCATGAGCACACCGAGCTAAGTCTCAGAGAGGCTGCGCGGAGCACGTGCACATCCTCGCAGGAGTCTCGGCGATTGGCTGTGACGTAACTTCCGGCGTGAGCGGCGAAAGCCGGGAGGGCGAGCGAGGGAGCGAGCAGGCAGCAGGCAGCAGGCGGGCCGCCGGACGTACGGCCGGCACGGAGGGAGGGAACGAGCGAGTAGTGAGAAAGCCAGAGAGGGCGGCGGGGTCCCGAGGGCTGCCGAGATTCCTCAGGTCCCTCTGGCCCCCTCCCCGGAGCCCACAGCGCCTCCGGTCTCCAGCGGAGCGGACACGGCC